AGACTTGCAGGGTTATTCTGTGCTTTTCCGCGGGTGTTACCTCTCTCTCTGGACGGTTTCCCCACCCCGCCCTCCGTTCCTGCTGAGAGGATCACGGATCTAAAATTTCGAGAGGACCTCGGAGGCCTTATCGGCTCTAAACTGCAACAGAGTGAAGTTTCGGGTCGAACAGGAGCTACGCTACAGCCGATTTCGTTGAAGGAAATCTGCTCGCAATCGGAAGTCGAACAGAGTTCGCTCACTCGCTCCGCGAACTGCAGTTTCGCTCGTTCCGCTCGCTCGCGGACTCCGCTAGCGCTTCGTTTTTCGCTCGCTCGCTCCACTCGCTCACTGCAGTTCGCTCCGCTCCGTTCGCTCTCTGTTCGACTTCCTCCCTCGCAGATTTCCTTCAACGAAATCGGCTGTAGCGTAGCTCCTGTTCGACCCGAAACTTCACTCTGTTGCAGTTTAGAGCCGATAAGGCCTCCGAGGTCCTCTCGAAATTTTAGATCCGTGATCCTCTCAGCAGGAACGGAGGGCGGGGTGGGGAAACCGTCCAGAGAGAGAGCGTGCTTTCACCTGCGCGCAGTCCTGTCGCGCAATTCAGCACCCGATTCAGCACCTCGCGATTCAGCACCCAATTCAGCACCTCATTCAGCACCTCGCGATTCAGCACCCAATTCAGCACCCGATTCAGCACCTCGCACCGCGCACCCGCCGTCTCGCCGCGCACCCGCCGCCGCCGTCTACTCTACTCTATCCTAGTGGGGCACGCTGAGCCGGGGCCTAGTGCTGATGATCCTCGCTTGCGGGGAGAGGCTCTAGGTTGTGGCACGGCGGTCCCAGCGAGTGGAGGTGGTGCCTGACTGTTCAAGGCTCAATTGGCGGGTTATCAGTAACCGCCAGCCACCGATGAAGCTCGCGCCGGTCCGTGAGGCACCGGGGAGGCGTCCAGGGAATGGGGCGCCTCCGAAGCCTCGCCACCCCCCGCCAGGCCTGTGTGCCTGGGCGGGATACCCTCTCAGCCTCCCTCGCGGGGGGCTGTCGGGGAACGGAATGCTGCCCTTTTTTTTGCAGCTTCCCGGTGGATTGCGCCTGTATCCGGAAGAGGAGGTGCCCTAAAAAGGTGCCCCAATTTTTTCGCGCGCCGAAATTGGGGCACCTTTTTGGGGCACCCGTCGCGCGCCGATCAGCACACGGAGAGCAGCTCCGCGCTCGTGGCCCGCGAGGCCCCGACGTAGAGGTGCTTGATCGAGAAGTGCGGGTTGTCGGCGTCGCAGAGCCACACTCGCCCTCGGAGCGTGAGCCCCTGGCAGCTCGCGTAGGTGATGGCGTGGCAGAGCCGCGTGTAGCGGAGGAGCTCGGGTCCCGAGAAGCTCTGTCCGTCGTCCAGCACGAACCGCTCCCCGACCTCCTTGACCTCGACGTAGAGGCCCTTGGCCACCTTCGCGCCGGCGCCCACGAGCCTCAGCCCCGGCCAGACGCGCATGGTCTGCGGCTGGTTGGTCCCCGCCGGCCCCGACCCGCGAGCCAGTCGCCGGTTTTCCCTGTCGTTGATGGCGATCCTGTGGGCGTGGGAGATCACCAGGCACGTGTCCGGGTGGCCTCGTCGGGGGAACTGTTCCCGGGCCCTCTGCACACCGTCCCGCAGCTCCACCTGCTCCGCCTCGTCCACCCTCAGCCACCGCAGAAAGGAAAAGATCCCTTCGTCGCTCCTCTGATTCTCCGTGAGCTCGTGCACGCAGCCGCCAGCCAGGTCGTGCAGCAGCTGGGACTCCTTCAAGCTCCGGAGCACCGGGGCCCAGCTGCCTAAAATCACCCAGGAGCAGGAATCTCACCTGGCGGTTCGTGGAGAGCTCGGCAATGTCGGCCCACAGCCCGACATCGAGCTGCGTGACCTCCTCCACGACCAGCCAGTCCAGGGAGCAGCGTCCAGCGCGGATGGTGCGCCGTGCCCAGCGGTCCGCCGTCTGTGCGCCCATCCCGGAGAGCAGCAGGCTCTTCCCCTCCAAGCAGTGGGCCACGGGATCCTCCACGTGTGTCCAGGGGTGCTGCTGCGCCGGCGGCTCGGCCTCCAATCGCGGCTCGCTGTACTCCCCCTCCAGGCGCTTCACCTCCTCGAAGCGATACTTCGGCGTGCAGTCCCGGTGCCGGTGCCTGGCGAGCGACTCCACGTCCTTGAGGAATTTTTTGGGCAGGTTCTGGAAGACCAGGCAGTCCGTCTTCAGCGCCACGAGGTAGCGGGGCGGCACCTCGCGCAGGGCCCGATGGATCCTGGCAAGCTCCACGTGCTCGCTGGCCATGACGAAGTCGTGCGCCGGCCTCATTGAGTAGTTGGAGAAGAGCTCCGTGGCATAGACATGGTCGTAGTGGCATCGCCCCTGGTCGTCGAAGAAGACCTGCTGGTACTGACAGCCCCGGCCGTCCACCTCGTGATCACTGGTCCTCATGGAGTAAAAGACGTCCTTGGAGCGAGCCCAAAGGCCGATGAGGGCGTTCACGGAGAGCTTGGCCATGTGCTCCTCGCCCTCCGGCCAGGCCCGTTCCATGATCTCCAGCGCCCGAGACAAGCAGTCCGGGGAGACGTGGGCCATGGCGTCCAGGGACCACTCAGGTGGCGAGGCCAGTCTCCAGCATGAAGGCCGTGGCGGGCTTGCCGTACCAGCCCGGCCCGAGGTAAGGCAACCTGCCCACGAAGGGCGAGCGCCGATCCTCCCGTTTCCTGACGAAGGTCAAATCCGCCAGCTTCCCCTCCTCGGCGGCGCGGATGTTGTCGAGCGGACAGAACACGGGCAGCGGAAAGGGAGCGTTCGCCAGGGCGTTCTTGCGGCAGCGCACCACGTCGACGCCGTGGCAGACCCGGTCGGGATCGCACTTGGAAAGCTTGCAGACCAGGGCCGGCGGTCGAGGCGAGCGGGCGTAGGTCTCCAGGACGTGGCGGCAAAAGCGGCTCTCCAGGCTCGTGGCATGGGAGCACTCCAGGAAGGTTTTCGAGGCGTGGCACTCCATACAGAGGGCCTGCATGGGCTGGGTCTGGCCGTAGTAGGCCTGGTGGACGGGCACGATGTGGTCCGCCTCGCAGCCGCCGGGCTCGATGGGGGCCCCACACAAAGCGCAAGCGCCCTTCTGCTCCCGCAGGAGCTGGTGCACGTTGCACGGGTGACAGCATTGGAGTTCGGAGGTCTGCGGTTGTCAGGGTTCCATTCGTTTTGGTTTCAGGCGAGACGGTGGTAACAGAACTCCAAGTGCTTGTTGCTCCTGTGAAGTTTAACCTGCTGTCCTTAGGGCGTTTGCTGGGCAAGAGCTGGGTTGTGGATTTCCTGCCAAGTTTTAAAGTTGAGGCCGCTGGGTACGTTCTTCGCACGAGATGGGTCTCCAATTGCGGATGGGTTTTCTCGAGTGCTGTTGAGCTTGACCGTTCCGTTGCAGTTGCCGCCCGAGCGAGCTTGAAGCGTAGTGACGGCTGTGCTCCTTCGTCTGGGAAGCCTTCTAAGAAGGATGGGGAGGAGCAACCGGGCACCAGAGGAGTCTTCTTCCGACTCGGAGCAGGAGTGGCGCCTTTCGGGTCGCCGCCACCTAGCGGAGTAGCACGCGGCCACTGTTACGAGGACGCACGAGGACTTCGAGGGATCCACGGTCGCCTTTACGGCAACCTCGATGGTGGGTCTTACGCCGGGCCAGAACCTGCTGTTGGTGCCAGCCGCGGAAGTGAAGAAGAAGACGGCAGAGCAGGCAAAGGCAGCTGCGAAAGCAGCGGCGGAGAAGTTCGTGAAGGAGCGCCAAGAAGAAGGCAGCCGAGGCGGAGAAGTTGATCAACGAGGCCACGGAGGCAAAGAAGCGGCCGAGGCAGTGGAGTTGGTCAGCGATTCCCCAGAGGGGAAGAAGAAGAAAGCAGCCGAGGCAGAGAAGTTGGTCGACGAGGCCACGGAGGCAAAGAAGAAAGCAGCCGAGGCGGAGAAGCTGGCCAGCAAAGCCGCGGAGGCAAAGAAGAAGGCAGCCACAGAGGCCGTGGAGACAAAGAAGCCCAAGGGCAGTGTGGCCAGAGCAAGGGCAGAGCCGTCTTCGGGGTCGAAGGACCCACCGCAGCCATTGGTGAAGAGGCAGCCCAAGCCGCCCATGGTGAAGGCAATGCCAGCCAAGGTCCGAAAGATCGTCCTGAAGAGCCGGGCCCAGCGCGGGATTCCCGGGCGGACCGACACTGCGCTGAGAATGCTTTCGCAGCCGGCCAAGGAGAAGAAGAAGAGCGGCTACCTCATGAAGGCCATCAACAACGCTATGAAGAAGAAGGCCGAGGAGCAGAAGGGCGCGCCAGTCAGGCGAACCTGGGAGAAGCATATCAAGGACCACTATGCTCAGATCAGGGGGCTGGAGATCCCGTTCGTGGAGGTGACGATTTCCGAAATCGTCAAGGAGCCTCGGGGACCACCGCCGGTGCCACAGCCGAAGACCCCTCCTTCCACGCCAGCGCGAGCTTCAAAGGCCCCGGAGGTCAAGGTGGAGAGCGCGCGTGCAGCAAAGGTGCCGGAGGTCATCAAGGTGGAGGGCATGGAGATCAATCCCCCACCACCGGTGCCACCAAGGAGGAGGCTACCCAGGTCAGCCGGACGAGGGCCCTCTGCGCCCTGCCCTGCCGGGCTTGCCCGGCGGCGCTGTTTAGAGTAAACGTTTTGGGTGGGCGGGGCGGGGTGTCTCTGTGGGTAGGAGGAGTTCCCTCGACTGGACCAACTCGAAGATCTCCGCAGTTTCAAAGAGAAAAGTTTTATTGAGCAGTTTTGAGTTTCTATTTTATTTACGTATCGTGCGCTTTTCAGAATGGAGCCAGAAGCTGAGTGCGCGCACAATCTCAATGCTTATCATGGACGCAGAGCTCAGGCTCAGGAGCAGGGAAAATTTTGATTGTATGGGGCTAGCATTCACAAGCATCGTTGTGACGCATGACTGGACAGTTTAGCTTCACGGTAGCTCCATACTTTAGGACTACGAAAGCGGTAGAAGGGTGGCCCTGCGGCCCATGGTCGGCCATGAGTGGCACAGGACTCGGATGGCCCGCTTTAGTGCCACCATACCGCAACCGCCTTGAAGAGTGGTTTAGCACGCCTGAGAAATTGCATGCCTCATTCGACACGAGGGAAGAGCTTGTATCATTGCTTAGGGCTTGCGATAACACGCTTCTTGAAAGTAGCCTGCAGTTGATTGCGGATGCACTTCTTGAATGGCATGCAGACAATGCTCGCACAGTTGCGAGTGGGCGCAGGGAATCAAGGAGGCGCTTGACAGAGTGCTTGCCCAGTGTCCCGGGAACTGGCCTTAGCTTGCATGAGCATTACAATCAGATTGCACTTCAGAGTCCACTTGCGTTGCTTCCGGTTCTTCGCAAGCGGAAGTTAGCTACTGATAGGGTCGTAGATCGCGGTGCCAGGGCCACTGAGGAGATACGGCTTCGGCAGGAGTATGCATTGCGTCTTGCAGCCATCATGCAGGAGGCGCAACTGCCGGTGTGCAAGGTGCTTGCAGGGGTCAGCAATGCCGAGGAAGCCTGGCCACGGCTGTTCGGGACCCGTCGATCCAAGACATTGAGAAATCGCTTTAGAGCTTGGGACAAGTTTCGGGAATGGTTGCTTTATAGCCGTGGCAGGAGCTATCCGGAAGGGGTAGCTGATGTGCTAGATTATGCCAATGAACGATTCCAGGAAGGATGTGGAAAGACAGTTCTCGAAAGCCTGCAAGCCTCTCTCAGTGTAATTGAAGGTGTAGGGCGCGTGCCGTCTACGCAGCAGATATCTCAGGATCCCACATGGCAGGCGCAGCTCAAAAGTTACACAGCCGATTTGGTTTCGGCGGCACCGCCGGAGCAGCCAGCCAGCATGCTCACTGTTGCTATCGTTCTTGCATGTGAGATCTTCGTTTGCACGCCCGGGGAGCCTAGTTACTTGAGAGCATTGGGCTTTGTCTGCTTATTGATGGTTTGGGGATCGCTTCGGGCTGATGATGTTCAGGGGCTCTTGCCGCAGACCATGCTTCTGGACGAGCGAGGGCTTAGCATTGATCTCGCGCGGTCCAAGACTACAGGGCCCGACAAAAGGACCCACACCGTCAAGGTCTTCGTGGAACGGAGTATCTCTCTGACAGGGCATGATTGGCTGAAGGTCGGATATGCACTTTGGAAGGATTTCGATTTTGAGAGGGATTATCTGGTTTTGAAGGCCAATGAAGGTTTCACGGAACCCCTGGAGAAGTCGGTGCCTTCCTCCACGGTGGCCCTTTACTTCCGCAAAGTTCTCAGTGAGTTGAAAACGCCCAAGCGTGAGGGGCGCACATGGAAGGCCAATGATCAGCGTCCGCTGCTCCCGGGATACACTTCCAGTCATTTTACGGGACATTCTGCGAGGAACTTCCTTAGCTCGGTCGGAGCGGCCATCGATGTCGACCCCAGGGAGCTTGATTATCTGGGTCGCTGGAAGGTAGGTGGCGAAGGTTCTGCAACCTACATTCGCACTTCTAGGCAGGTTGTGCATCGTCTCCAGAGTCACATTGCTTGTTCCCTTGTCACCGGACAGCCAAAGCACTACATCGAGGTGGATTCCATCAAGGCTTTGACGGACTATGCAGCTAAGGCGGGGGAGAGCGAGTCTCAGGTTCGTCGCCGTCACACCCTCCTCGAGGGATCCAAAGGCTTGGGCGGGTCGTGGCCAACTCTGGCATTGGAAGTGGGTGTTGCGGCACCACCTTCTCCAGTCGAGCAGGTTTCGATGCCAGGCAGCCGGGGGGATTACTTCATCGTTACCTCTCGCACCACAGGCCTGAGGCGTCTGCACATGTTGGGCTGCTATGTCAAGCCTGAGAATTGTTATGATGTGAAATTTGTCAGTCATGTCGGCGCGGAGGACGTCGATAACATTTGCAAAGATTGCAAAGCAAGAATGAAGGCTCAGGCCGGAGAGGAGGAATCAGACCCCTCCAGCAGTGACAGTGGGAGCGAGTCGATGTGAAGGCAAAAGATGCTTTCGACTGCTGTGGATAGGCTGTGCCCTGCAAGTCCTAGCCAGAAGTTGGCATGAGTTGCTTATGCAAGGGCGCCTTGAAGTAGATCCACGATAACAGTCCATGCTGACTTTTCTCAGGGCATCTTGAAGTTGTTTCGCGATAACAGTTCATGCTGATTAAGTGCACGTGCTGGCGCTGTTCAAGCAGGAGGAAGTCTCACTCGGCGCAGGCCGTGAGGTGCCGGCGGATTCCGCATCCTGTCACAGGCCTCAGGGCGACGGGTGGACACATCGCAGTGCAGCTAAAGGCCTCAGGGCGGCTAGCAATCCAAGTCCTACAGGGCCACAGGCCGGGCGCGGCCTTCGCATCAGGAGTAGCGGGAGTTAGTTACTGTTGTCGCAATGGCCGCCACAGATGCCGAGAAGCGCGAGCTCATAACCAAAGCAGATAGCGATTTGCAGTTTGTGCTCGGAGAAGCTGGCTTGTCTCTGGATGCCCAGTATCGCATTGTGCAACGACACACGACACTTAGGCGATTCCAGGCAATCGCCGATTCCCGGCCGGAAGCTCGGGCTGCTGGGAAGGCGGACTTTGGTCTTGATGATGGGGCTGCTGATGGGCGACAACAAATCGCGGGGGTCGTCGCTGCATGGGAACTTGCACGCGACGTAATCAGCAAAGAGACGGAAACACGAGCAGAGGCGAAAGTGTTAGGCCAGCCGCGAATCTTGCAAGTCACAGAGAGGCAAGCAATGCTCAAGGCGGTAGCGGCCGTTCACGGGCAGCTGGGAGAGTCGGAGACTCCATCGTCTGAGTACCTCGCTCTCAAGTGCGAGGAGTGCGAAGCCAATGAGCCTCAGGCTTCAACCTTGGATGCCATAACTTCGAAGAAGAACACGCTCACCACGAGCATCCAGTCCAGCCTTGACGCTTCGGGGCGAATTCATATTACTCAGCACAAATCCAAGAGCGAGCTCCCGACTACTACAGAAGCTTATCGCAAGGTCCTTCGCGTGGAAGCTTTCACGTGGCTATGCATGGCATCCCGCTTTAAATCCAAGCAGTGGCTTCAGGATCTTAAGCTGTCTGACTTCGACCACTTCGTGAACTACATCCTTGGCGAAAAGGTCGCTCAGCTCTCAGTGCCTACGTCTCATCAGCCAGCCGATGTGCCTTCACTTTCGCCACCTTGGGAAGTAGTCTTGGCCTATGAGCACCGGTTGCGCAAGGAGGCTTTCCGTCTGGTCAATGATCAGGGTTATACTCTGGCAGGCGCTCTGGCTTCAGTCATTTCTTCAGCGGAGCTTAAGGAGACCTACTTCACGACGCCGCTCGCCTTGTCCATCATTGAGCGACCACGCAAGTGGCACAAAGGCAAGGGCAAGGGCAAGGATGGCAAGGACGGAGGCAAGACAGGAAAGGGCGGCAAGGGCAAAGACTCCAAGGGGGGCAAGAACGGCAAAAGCCCCTCGGACCCGGCTCTTAAGGGCCTTCAGTTGGTTTGGCGCACGCCGGAGGGCCGCGACATTTGCTTTGCATTCAACTCGCAGGGCTGCACCAATCCTTCATGCGAACGCTTGCATGTGTGCCGGGTCAAGGGCTGTTATCAGCCCCACTCAGCGACCGAGCATAAGCTTAAGACCAGCAAGCCCAAGGAGTGACTATCGCATGATTCAGTTTCTACCATTGAGACATCAGATCACATCGCCTACCAGCCTCAGCTGTACAGTCCGAGCGGGCTTCGTGTGCTCTACATTTTCGCGGGGCCCCATCGCAAAGGTGATGTGGGCTCTTACCTTCAGTCATTGGGCAATGTCACTAATCTTCTTCAGTTCGATCTTCAGCGCTCCACGGAGCATGACTTGACTAAGGAAGGCTTGTGGCAGCACATCTTTCAATTGCTTGGCGAAGGGGATTGGAGCCTCATTGCCTCTCCTCCTTGTGAGACATTTTCCAGAGTCCGGCATCGCCACCCCGGGCCAAAGCCACTACGTTCAGCATTTTATCCTAGAGGTTTTCCATGGTTAAGCAATTTGCACGCGCAGCAGGTGGAGCAGGCTAATTATTTTCTTGATCAGACCGTGACGGCATGTCAACTTGCATGGCAGTATGTCCTGGAGCACCCGGAGGATCTCGGCGCAACGCCGGATCACGAGTTACCGGCTTCCATCTGGCAGCTACCAGCTCTGCGTGAGCTCCAGGTTTCCACTCAGGCCATCACTTTTGCTTTCTTTCAATGCAGCTTTGAGGCTCCCACTTCCAAACCCACACGCCTTCTCACTAATCTACGGGCCTTTGTCGAGCAGCCTCCGCCTTTTGCTTCATGGCCACGCTTCGACTCCAGTGATCGCTACGTGGGGCCGTTGCCGCCACGCTGCCCGCACGGGAAACATGACAAAGTACTTGCAGGCCGAGAAGGCTCCCGCTGGGCGACCGAGTCATCAGCAGCCTATCCTCCTCTGTTGTGTGAGTGGCTTGCGCATGCTGTGCTTGCTTCCGCTTCGCAGGGGGGACTTGGGTCAGCGCCGCACAGCTCCGTTCCAGGTGAGGCAGGTCCAATGCAGGAATCCCACGAGGCAACGCAGGAGGTGCATCAGGATTTATGTGAAGTGCCGCAGGGGCTGCACCAGGTGGTTTCCGTTAGGGTAGAGGCGGTTACTGATAGGGTAGAGGCGGTTGGCTTGATCGAGTCGGAAGCACCTCCTTCCACTTTGTTGCCGTCGCCAGACTCTTCGGGGCCAGACTCTTCGGGGCAACCGCAGCCGAAGGCAGCACCTAGGGGGGTTAAGAAACAAGTTGAAGCCGAGGAGTTCGCACGCATCGTTTCTTCATCGAGAGCCCCGACTCGGGCCGAGGTCCATGCTCTCTTCAAACTGCTGCCGCATGAGACTCCGCCTAGGTCGGCGGTGTCCTCTAATTGGGTTCCTAGCAGCTTTTCGACAGGCTTGTACCGGAAGGGTGGAGGCCTGATCGGGCTCAGGTCCGCGTGCAAAGGCTTCCCGGCTTCCACAGAAGCTTTGGCATCCTTCGTGCGTAGCAACATGCCCGGGCACCCCTTTACCACGATTAGCCTTTACCTTAACACTGGCACCAAGCCCCACAAAGACTCCAGGAACGCACCTTTGCCCAATGGGATAATAGGGGTTACTGACTTCGTAGGAGGAGAGATCTGGGTCGAGGCCCAGGATGGGGAGTCTGTTCAGATTGTTGACGGTAAGCGCTTAAGTGGTCACCTTCTTCCGATCAGTGAGACACCCACCTACATACATGCCTACCGCGATCTTCACCTCACAATGCCCTGGAAAGGTAAGAGATTAGTCATCATAGCTTTCAGTGTATCGGAGCATACTCAGGCATGCGATGAGGATCTCGCGTTTCTTCGCGGGCATGGTTTCGTCCTTCCGGGCGAAGAGCACAGTGTTGATCTTGAGGCGGTCCAGTCAGATGATTCGGAGGTGCTGGAGGGGGGTGAGGTCGAAAGGCCGGAGCCCTTCAAGCATCAGGAGTGCCACAACATCGGGCTGCCTTTGAACCTCGAGTGGGATGGCAAAACTCAGCCGATCACGGATGGCTTTGGACTCTGCTCACCCACTAGATGGCCTCCGGAAGCCAGGGGGGGCCTGCTGCCCAAGCAGGCTTTGGAGTTCGCCACTGCCATGCATCAAGTGCTTCGAGACTTTGTAGCGGACGTTGTGCCTGATATCAAGCGCACGGCGATGGAGCTTGCGCTAGGCCGCCTTAAGGAATCGCCTTTCACTCCCGAGATGTTAGGGGTCCTTAGGAAGGATTGGTTTAGTTGCATAGAGGTTGCTTCGGGAGGCAAGTGTACGGATCTTGATGTGGTGCCGAGTGGCCAGCCATTCTTCTTGCATGCTGTGTCTGCGACGGCTCGGCTGTTGCAGGACCCAGATTGGAAAGCCGTTTCTTGCCAGGAGGACTCCTATGTCAGCGGGGTCGCGATCGGTTATGACTGCCCCGCGCCTCACTTGCCACAGGTGTACGAGTACAAACACAAGTCCCGCAAGCTCGATGAATCGGATGCCGAGTGGCATCGCGAGAACTATTCGTCGGCAAACGAAACATCGGATCAGCTTGAGAAGAAGTTTGCAGAGGAAGAGGCTCTTGGGCGCATGGCGCCTTCCACGTTGCCGGTTCTTGAGCAAAAGTACGGGCGGGATAGGGTTAGGATAGCTTCTTTAGGTTCCTTGATTAAACCAGACGGTTCCGCTCGGCCATTACACGATGGCACCCACGGTGTGCATGTCAACAATGGTATTAGGCTACTTAATCAGCAATCCAATCCCGGACCCCAGGAGGTAGTTCACCTTGTGCGCAGCGCAAAGCAAAGTCAGGAGGCCACCTTTTGCCTCACCGGCGATGTGACGGCGGCTCACAGGTTGTTCCTTGTCAGAGAGGCCGACTGGCCTTTGTTGTGCTGTAAGGTGCGCAACGACACGCCGGTCGTTTGGTACAACAAAGTAGGAACGTTCGGTATATCATCATCCGCCTTCCTTTGGTCCAGATTGTTTGGAATCATCGGCCGCTGCACCGCGCGCTTTCTTTTGACATTGTGGTTCTATCACCTCGTCTTCGTAGATGATGTTCACGCCAACTTCGCAGGAAGGGAGAAATTTCATCATTTGCTCATGTGGCTAGCATGCTTCGAGATGTTTGGCACACCTTTCGCATACAAGAAGTTCCGCGGTGGGCTCACTTCGGCTTTTGTGGGTTACGAACTTTCTTATCCAGACCAGAGGGTCGGAATTTCCGAATCGCGGGGCCAGTGGCTCTTGAAATGGATCGCTGAGGCTCGGTCCTCGAAGTTTGTTGTTTCGGTTCGCAGGTTTGCTGAGTTCTTAGGGAGGCTGGGCTTCGTCGCTCGGCTTTTGGTTTGGCTTAAGGCACACCTTGCACCGCTTTACAGCTGGAGGGCAGCGGTGAACGACAGTTCAGTCGCTCGGATGCCCGACACCGTCATCCTTACCCTTGAATATCTTGACCTCACGTTCAGGGACATGACGTTCAAGGTCGCCGCAGCAAGATCGGTCAAAAGAGAAGGCGTGGCCTTCCGCACTGATGCAAAGTGCGCGGACGGGTACGTGGTCCTTGGGGGTTGGGATTGCGCAGGCACAACTCAGGAGTCCAGATGGTTCTCACTTCGACTTACTCCCTCAGAGGCCCCTTACCTCTTCGACTCAGAAGGTCACAGTCAGTGGGCTTCGGCATCGGCTGAATTGCTGGCCACGCTGGCTGCCCTGCACATCTTCGGTCACCTTGAAGCCGGGCCAACTAGGCGTTTGATGAAGGTTGAGGTTCTAGCTCAGACGGATAATAAGTCTAACGAGGGCTTGACTCGCAAGGGTTCTACAACGCGCTGGCCCTTGCTCATGGTTAACATGCAGCTCACCCATGTTCTCATGAAGGCCGGCTTGCGGTTGAACTTGGGATGGCGTCCACGGGACGAAAATCAGGAGGCCGATGATTTAACCAACGAAATCTTCGACCGTTTCTCTGAGGAGTTGCGGGTCCCAGTGCAGTACTCCGAATTGCCGCTTTCCTTTCTTCACACTCTTTACGAAGCCAGGCGTGCACAGCTGAGCAGCCGTGAAGTGGATTCCATCCGCGACACGGTCGGTGGCAGGCCACGCTTCAGAGGCAAGAGAAAGAGAGAGAAGTCTCCTTGGTGACGTGCCGGCCTGCGGAAGGGGGGGCACAGGCACACAGGTGCGCCTTCCCGACACGTCAAAGACCTGTTCAAGAATTAGATGCCTGCGTGAGCCTGCCGCCATCCGTTTGAAAACATCCTGCGTGCTCCTTTCGGCAGTTGCTATCTCTTTAGATATTCATCATTAAGTGGCGAGGATACATTTGATTGGAGTCCCAAGAGGCGAAAGCAAGATATGAGAATTTATACCCCATATATTCTCCGGGGATACCGTCGGTGCATTTATACCTTCGCCGATATTTCCGTTTGCCCAATATATCTTCTGGGCAATAAAATTTCTGATGAGGGAACTGAGTTTCGTAAACTTCGCTCACAGCGCCCTTCCTAAACACAACGGTTACGGAGAACAGCAGAGTGGTCACCTGTGTCCAGTCTGCCGCCATGGTCACCAGTTTCCAGCGTGCCGGTGGATGCAAAGGCCAGGGAAACCCCAGCAGAGGGGAGAGCCGAGCAGCTGCATCTTGGGGAAGACGGCAAGATCTACAACTCCCGGGGCGAGGTGGTGGAGCTGGAGAGCATGGGGAGCATCGAGATAGAGTGAGCCACGGCGGTGCACAAGGATCCTCCAAGGACGCCCGCCAATCTTCCGAGGACGCCCACCATCCAGGAATATCCGATGGTCCTCCTTCCTTGGGACTCTCGCTTCTGATGCAAGAAAAGGTTGCGTTTGCATTGCAGTTGAGCTTGGTGAGCATGCATGTGCTGGTGGCTTGGATGAGCATGAGTTGCAGCATGGTGAGTTGCTTGAGCATGTTGGCCAGGACCGACCACAGCGTGACCGGAGCGAGGCCCATGATAGCCAGAGTGAAGCATGGTTGCTTAGAGGGGATCGGGAACTGTTGTTGCAGGAAAGCTGCGGTAAGCTAGAGCGAGAACATGTTCTTAGATCGCATGTGCCGTACAATGCGTCTTGCCCGCAGTGTGTGCAAGGCCGTGGGCTTGAACCCGCCAGAAGCCAGGATCGGCCCCGGGACTCAGGGATGAGAGAGGTGCAAATAGATAAGTTTTTCTATAAGGGCCTCGCATTCCTGGTGTTGGTTTTGGTTGGTGCTTTTGCCCTCGGTGTGGTTCCGTACCGTGAGGTGAGCGGATCCCGAGGCCCAGCAGCCAAGGAAGCCATGTTGAATGACATGTCGGCATGGAGTCGTAGCGTTGGCTTGGTTGGTGTTGCTCCCAGTGAGTTGACGGTGAGTGTGAAGTCGGACATTGAGGGTGTTGTGAAGAACCTTGCACAGAGTTTTGCTGATGGTTTGACCGCCGGTGCCATCGAGGTTGTGGATGCCCCTGTTGGTCGGCATGCTGTTGTTGCAGAGCGTGCGGTGAGGACCATCAAGGAAGGTGCAAACACACTTTGTGCTGGGTTGGAACAGGTCGGCTTGGAGCCCTGCGGGAAGGGTGTTACGTATCTTTTGATGCACGTTGCCCAGGTCTATAACCGGTACCAGGTGCATCCTGGATCGGCGCTGTCCCCAGAACAGCGTTGCTTGAAGACCACCCGAGGACCGCATGCCGCTTATGTTTGGGGTGCCGCTGTGCTTGCCACTCCTCCTCCCTCTTTGCGTGACAAGATCACCGGCCGTTACGGCCACGCCGCCTACCTTGGACCAGAAGTCGGAAGTGGAAGCCACATTGTGCAGTTTAGGCTGCGGGATGGCACCTTGAAGATTGCGAGAAGTGCAAGAATCCGGATGTTGGTTCCTCTTACCTTTGAGGTGTCGAGCTTGAAAGGTGTTTGTCGCATGTTGCCAGGAAGGAGAGATGATGCCCAGAAGAAGCTCCCCGAGAGCACTGGCGAAAATGTGCACGACCTCCCTTTACCGAACACCGCGACCCGAGGACCACCACCAAATTGGATTGAAGAAAACGGAAGAACCCCAAGGTGTCGAGCTTGCCGGCTGCGCGGTTTTCCAGCGGATAAGGCATGGCACACCCAGAGATGCCGTGATCGATACGCTGAGTTTGTGCGGAACTCCTTCGATCCCAGCCGGGCGATCCTCGGTCAAGCCCCAATTGAAGAAGAGCCGACTGGGCTTGATGATTTGGGTGCTGGATTTGATGTTGATCTTGGGCTTGATGTGCCGGATGATCTTGATCCTTTCTCGAATTTTCCATTGGACGAGGATTTGGCTGAGTATGAGCCCAGCCTGCCTGGAGTTGAGAATGACATAGAAGTTGGAGAAGAACTCGAGCAGATCGAGGCCCCGAGCCCGGGCGAGCTTGATTTCATGCAAGTGGAGCCGGAACCTCTTGAAGCACTCCCAGAAGAAGAGCGGGAGGCTATGGTGTCTAGCGTGATGTATCGCGAGTCCATCTCCTTTGCTGGTGCGTCGGTTTGCTTTGCAGGGGCCGCCACCACCAAGGTTGTTACTCCTCAGGTTGTTGAGCTTGGGGGGGAGAAGCTGCTTGTTGAAGTGTCAGCTTCTGCAAAGGATGATGTGACTGGGCAGATATTGGCTTGACCTATGAGGGCATGTTGCGTGAACTTCGTGCTCTTGAGTCGCTTGCTGTCGGTGATGTTGTGTGGCATGTTGAACCGAAGCAGAAGGTGATCTCTACAAGGTGGGTCTCAAATGCCAAGGTCGAGCGTGTTGAGGGAAAGGAGAATCCGCTTGTCAGGTGTCGGGTTGTTGCTCGTGACTTTGCGCAGGGAGCGACCGCTGCGCAGCTGGGTATCTCTGCTGCCACAAGTTCCGCAGAAGCGCTGCGAACCTTTCTTTTCTACGCCGGTTCCAAGAGGAGGAACATCGTCGGGTTGGATTCGATGTGAGCACCGCGTTTCTCTTTGCGGAGCTCGACGAAGAAGATGGCCACATTGTGGTCAGGCTGCCGGACGGAGTTAAGAGCAAGGACGGCCGCCGCGGCTACTTACGCCTAAAGAAGGCCCTCTATGGTCTAAGGGTTGCAGCTCAGACCTGGTCGCGTCACCTGGCAAAGCTGCTGAAGAAGCTCTGTGACCTGGAGCCCTGCGAAACTGAGGCTTGTTTGTTTTCAGGATCCGTGCTTGGAGGCCAGCGGGTGGTTGTTCTTTGCTACGTTGATGATCTTCTCATCACTGGAGACAGCGACGAGGCTATCTACCATGTGGTGGAGCAGCTGAAGACCGCTGTGAAGGTGAAGGTCACAGCCGATCTGGACCGTGACGGTCAGATCACCTTCCTTGGAAGACAGATTGCCCGAGAGCATTCTAGTGACTCCCTGTGCGTCACAATGTCCGATTCCTACTACGAAGAGATCTACAAGGGTTTCTTCGGGAACTCCAAGGTCACTGCGTGCGGCACGCCGCCAAACCTAAAGGAGTTGTACGACAAAGAAGATCCTTGCTTGGAGAAACCCCTGTCTTCTGAAGCTGCTGCGAGGTTTCGCAGTTCCCTGGGAAGGCTGTCATGGCTTGCGATGACAAGAGTGGATGTGGTTTACTATGTGAGCATGCTGGCCCGAGGCCAGGCGAATCCACTTGAGAAGCACGAGAGAGCTATGAGGGCTATGTTGCGTTACTTGAAGTATATTCAGGGTTTTAAGCAGGTGGTGAGTCCAGTTTCTGAGGAGAGCCTGCGCCTTGATTGCTATGTAGACGCTTCTTGGGGTAGCGAGAAGAATGTTGACAGGAAGAGCATCAGCGGAGGGTGCGTGATGTTGGGAGGCTTCTGTTTGAAAGCCTGGAGCCGTCTGCAACAGGCTGTTGCCTTGAGTTCTGCTGAGAGCGAGCTCTATGGGCTTGTGGAGGGTGCGAAAGAGGCTCTCTCTATCCGCCGCGCCATCTCGCATGTCTTTGGGTGGGAAGATCTGCCAAAGCCCCATCTTTTCTGTGACAGCGAGGCTGCAGTTGCTATCAGCAAGGCTGATGGGCTGAGGAAGGTGAGGCACATTGACCTTAGGGCGTGCTTTATCCAAAACCAGCTCAAGCAAAAGCAGATTTTTCTCTATGGGGCGCTCAAATTCGGGGCCGTCGTGGCCGAAATCTTTTCTGGGGCTCGACATCAACGGTAAAAGGCTCTCTAGACTGGCTTTTAGGCCCTCGAACCTTCAACAAGTTGGCCGTAGTTTTCGCTGCATGGTTTTCCGATTGGCTCTTTGCTGCGCTCTTTTCTTGGCAATTTCCTGCGAGATTTGCTTTTGCTTTTCTGGAGAATGCCGCCTGGAAGGCGTATTCGGGTCCGAGCAAAACGGAGGCGTCGGAGAGAGAGGAGACGAACGAGCAGCTCGAGCAGCTCACACACCATTCGAAGCTCGTCGATCGATTTTCCTCGGCGATATTTTCTTAGCCCTACAGGGTCCATTGGATCATGTGACAGCTCGGCCGACCGGGAAGCGCCTGCAACGGGTATTGATACTTCCACGCACATTCGAGCATATGCATTGGACTTGGTTGCAGACACACTGCAGCTTGCAACAGCGAGCCAGTCTCGATATGGAACAGACCTGGCTAAAGAGCTGCTACGAGGCAGCTGCCCGAAGCAAGTTCTGCTACGAGCATGCGACCTGCTGTTTTCTAGGGAACGCTCCCTTCTGCTTGCAATGGTTCAAACAAGCTACCCGGCCCTGTTGCGAGAGGCCCGGGCAACATCTGCAGTTTTCACAGCATCATGTTGGGACACACATTCGACTGCCTTGCTGCAGTGTTGAGTTGACCTCACACATGTCTGGCTTACTTTAGCTACTGCTTGCTGCGACCTCAGTCATGGCTGTGGTGCCTCCACGCCGAGACTCAGTCCCCTTTGCAGGTCCTTGGGACCAAGAGGAGTCTTCGCTTGGAATGATGGGTCAGTCCCCTGTTCCAGACACAGTTGTGGTGTCACCACGCTGTTAAGCATCCACACTGCCAGATCCAATGTGCTCGGCAAGCTGGTGACATGGTCAGGAGCTTGGGTTCAGCCAATCAGGGATATGCATTTTCACGACATGTGGCTAGAGGTTACTTCATGCTCCCCTTTGCGAACTGCTGCAGCGGAGTGCCCAACGTCCTCTTCTAACTCCCGGCCCAAGTACGTAGCAGAATGCATAGCCCGCAGGTACCAGTATGCTGCTTATATAGGCCTGGGTTGTTCCTTCACCATGCCAGTGAGTCCAGTGATCCTTTCTGGTGGCTGTGGTGCACCCACGCTGCCAGGGCAAAAAGTACAAGCTGCTCATTGCCTATGCCAGGCACTGTGTGCCGGTTCGGTGAGTGCTGGGTGTACCCGCCTCGCGCTTCCTCAGGTCTCTCGACGGAACGAGCCTGGATGTACAGAAGGCTTCGTGCACTCTGACACTCGCATGTGTTGTCGTGTAGGGTTCCGAACTGGTGATGCTGCACCTGCACCTGTTCATATACGCTTCTTGACCTGCAGGAATCATCAACGAGGCTGCCGTGCAGGCCACTGCACCAGACCGTTGCTCAGACGTCTCATGCACTCAGCCACTGCTACTGGTCTTGCCATGCCTCTCTCCGGTAAGTTTTCGCTCGAGGGACGCATAGCCGCCGTAGCCAGCCACGGTCCCGTGTCTCTTTCAGAGCACAACACATTTCTCCACATGGGCGCTCACAGCAGTGACTCGCGGCAGAAGAGATCGGCTTGCAGACCGGGCCGCCGGGAACGACTCATCATCAAGCAGACGGCCAAAGCCAAAGCTGCCCCGGGGCCCCCGTTGCGACAACCACCGAAGCCTCCCTTGCCTAGACATCGAGTGCTGCAGTATCCCGAGAGTACAGATTCACTGCTTCAACACCGGACACATGCGATGCCCACATTGAAGCGAGATAGCTCGACTGCTGTTTCTGTCGACGAGACTATTGCAGGGATCGGAGAGCATAGCATTGACAAGAAGGCCAAGGGCTGCAAGCACCAAGCTACTTCCAGTGACAGTGCCTATGTTACCTTTGAACCTCTGCCCTGTGAAGTTTATCGCCCACAGGTGGTCTCAGATCAGCAGAGGGGCAGACCGAACCAGTGCGGGAAGACGGCTGCAGCATACATGGATGCTCTTGCATTGTGTCGGTCAGCTTGCACAAATGCTTACATCGCATGTCTGAGGTGCTTGCGAATCCGGCCACACAGCACACAACAACATGTTGCGGCAGGAAAACACGTGACAGCCGCTCGAGCAATAGGGTATGTACCACCTGCAGGTCGGACTCTTCCGTGGGGAGGGTGTCTACAGGACTATGGGACACATGAAGACTCTACACAGTCCTCTGGGGCTCATCAGGGACCTGTTTTGGTAGCAGGGAGTGGGCGGGGCGGCTGGGAGATGTGTGCTCCAGTCGATACCTCAGCAAAGCTTTCACTTTACCAACCAGGCGATCCTGCCGGCCCCTTGTCAGGCTTTCGCATGCTGAGTGCCGTGTGCGAATCTCGATTTTCTGCAACCACCGCACTACTCAGCACGGCTCCATGCATTGACCTCTCTAGGTTGTGGATCACTTTCTGGGGCACCTCGACATCATGGTCAGGAGCTCTGCCAAGGCCACCACTAGTAAACCAAGAGCCAAGCAGCGATCCAAAGCAAAGCCCAAACCCAAGCAGACAGCCACTCGTGACACACCTGGGAGACGAAACCGCGCCAAAAGGGCCGACCGATATAGCACCAGCGAAAGCAGCAGCGAAAGCAGCAGCAGCACTGAAGGACCTGGCACCAGCACTGAGGCGGCACCTATGCCACCAGACCCGAGGTCTCGTTCGATGGACCCTGGAGTGGAAATGGACTCCCTTTCTGACTGCGAGTGTGCTTCTCTACCTGGTAGCTCTGAGCTTGCATCAGAACCCATGTCGGCAGTGCAATCGCCGAAGAACTGCAGTGCAGAAGAGCCGCCAAAGAGCCACGGCACGACGCCGGGGCCTCGCCCTATTGTCTCTGCTCCTATGCCAACACATTGCTGCTTCAGGACACGAGACACGGGCCACGGGACCCGAGGCAGGCAGGCAAGAGCGTGCGCCAAGATGCTGGTACGTGCATCATTACGATGCAAATGCCACTTTGCACTGCTACATGAGTGCGTCAACCACCGGCCGACGCCGAAAAGTCCGAGCCCCAATCCGAACGGCACATCCACCCGGGTACGGCCGTACCTGGTGCTACCAGGAGACCTCATCATGGAGGCATGCCTGGATCCGTTTCCGGAAGCTGGCTGACTGGCCCTGCCCTTGGTTGCTACAGCCTGCAAGCTCAATGGAAGTACCGGCTAGCATGAGTGCAGGCAGAGAGTCACATTGTGAGCCTACAAACCGTGTCACATTCAGAAACCACGACAAGGAAGCATTGTCTCTCCCCGAAGAGCATGAGCCCTATTATCAGAATCGCACTAGACCCGGTCCCAAGTCCGGGAGGCACTACATTCAGTCGATCTCATTGCGCCCATTTCTTTACCTTGTGCTCTTTATACATTGGGCCAGCATGATCGTAGTGTCTGGAGTGAGGGTTGGCACCTCTGGTCCCCGCCACGTGCCGGGAGCATCCACTATCGGCCATCGTTCATCGCACATTCTTACGGATGCAAAAGACGGGGTTAGGGTTGAGCACACCCGCAACAACTGGCAACCAGCGAGGAAGCGAGCTTATAGGCGCGCACTGGCGCGAGCACGCGCACATCCAGCAGGAGGGGTCATGTATAGAGGTAGGTGGCTTAGCGGGCAACATTCGGCCGCTCCCAAGGACCGAGCCGACGAGACATCCCCCGTTCGGGGCCCCACCGGACCCGGAATCGACATCTTAAGCTGGAACTGCGGTGGACTCACATCCACACGCTTTGCTGAGCTCAAACAGTGGTTGCACACCACCCCTGACGGCCAACGGCCGCAGATTGTGATCATTCAGGAGACGCTCTGGAAAACCTCCAGTGAGTGGACAGATAGCAAATACTCGTATGTGCATTCGGGTACCAACCGGAACAAAGACGGCGGTTTGTTGCTCATGGTTGCTCGTGAATTATGCTCACCGGACAAACTGCGATATGATGAGCTGAAGCCTGGCAGACTTTTGCACATCAAGCTCGCTATGGATCCGTCGTTTGAACTCATTGCAATTTACCAGCACTCATGGCGAAATGACTTGAGCACCACCGCTAAAGATAAACTGTTAACACAAAGAGCAGCTATATGGCGACGTTTGCAGCAGTTCGTGCAGAGCACCCCGGCAAGGGCCCAAGTTGTCATCGCCGGTGATTTCAATTGCCCCATTCGAACCTGCCTCCCATATGTCGGGAGTGGTGTTAGGCGTAATGTCAAACCTCGCTCTCAACCTCTCCCCGACCCCGCACCGGACCTTGATGACCTGATCAATGTACTTCGCAATGGGGATCTTCAGGTTCTCAATAGCTTCGGTAAGGAGGGCATGGCCGCCAGCACATACATCAACGCCTCGCACACGCCCATGCAAGGCTCACAAATTGATTTTGTGGTGATGCGGAGGGAGCAGGCTGATGATCGTAGCATGCGGGTACAGATCATGCGGGATTTCCCTCTACTGCCGATTGAAGGTATGTGGCACTTTCCGCTGAGAGTCACTGTTCCTCGCCCCATCGCCCCCCGATCCAAGCCTCAGGACTCACGTCTTACCCCAGACAAGGCTTCAGCCTGCTTGGCTCGGGAACCTGAGAAGGCTCAGCATTTTCAGCAAATGGTGAACGAAATGCTTCAGCAGGCCCCGACGGTGGATTGCATCAATACAGTCTTGCTTCAAGCTTGGGACCAAACCTTTGGCACTGTGGGTGATCCCCGGGAGGGCTTTGTTAGTGATGCCAGACTGGCCACCATGTGGAAACATCGAGCACTGGCCATGCAGGCACACAGTCTGCTGTCCAGGTGGCACCATCTTGCTAGATATAGATCCATCAGGCGAGTCATTCAGCGAAGGGTACAGGCGGACAAACGTGCTAAAATCCAGCAGCAGCTGGTGGATGCGGAACAAGCTAGCTCAACGGGACAGCCTGGTGCCCTGTATCAGGTGTTGCGCCGTATCGCACCCAAAATCAGACGCCGCAAATTGCAGCTCCGTGATGCTCAAGGGCGACTCGTGGGGCCAAGAGAAGAGGCCACTCTAATTTTAGACCACTACTCCGAAGTGTTTGCTTCAGAGCTTGCAGTGGCAGACACCCAGTTGGAATGTCCTTTTTACTTTGACTCCGATGAGCTGTATCATGCCCTCTCCGAACTACCCCAACACAAAGCCCTGCCGCAACATTGTGCTCCCGCCCCCCTCTGGAAACTCTGCGCACAGACCATCAGCCAATTCACAGTGCAACAGTTTCAGGGTCAACTTAGCTCGGGGTCGTTTCGGGATCAATGGCCCCGGGACTGGGCATTGTCCTTTTTATGCCTTCTCCCGAAAACAGATCAGCGATTGGATGCCATAGCCAAGCTTAGACCCATTTCATTGTTGCACCCACTGGGCAAGTCCTTTGCAGGGCTCCTCATGTACCGAGTCAGGGAGAGCATCACTCGCAAGCTCGCGTCCATACCCCAGTTCGCATACTTGGTTGGGCGGTCCACGGCTGATGCAGTGGATAGAGCGGTCTGGTGCACCGCACCCGGCAGAGATTGGGCACGCAATACACCATACACCATCGTCGTGCAGGCATCCGGCAGCAAACCATTCAGGGCAGCCTGACACTCAGCATTGACCTCCGACGGGCCTTTGACTCCATTGACCGCGACCTCATCCGTGACGCCCTTAAATGGGCTGAGGTCCCCACAGAGGTCCTGGATGTCGCATGAGGCCATGCGAGTTTGTTATACCTCTGCCTTAGGCGAAACGAGATCGGTTTCCACTGGTAGAGGGTTGAGGCAGGGATGTAGGTTAGCACCTATAGTGTGGGCGTGCATAACCGGATACCTGCTTAGCAAGCTCATACCGATCTTCGATCAAAGTGATTTGCAGCCTTTGCTGACGCTTTTTGCTGACGACACCCTGGGTCAGTGGGAGATCAATGATCAAACCCAGCTCGACAAAACGCTTAAACAGATTGCGTTCTTGCTCGACTTCTTGAAAATGCATAATCTTAGTGCAAACACCAGCAAAACGGTGATCTTGGCCAGGTTTGCGGGCTCCCACCACACCAAAATTTGGAGCAAACACTTGGTGACTGACCCTGAGCTGGGCACATGTGTGCAGATCAACTGTAGAGATGAACGTGTTCTTCTGCCTGTTAAGTCACACCACAAATATCTTGGGATCATGTTGTCGTATCGACACCTCGAGCGGGAATCGGTCAAGTACCGCATCAAATGTGCACAAGCGAGCTTTTCCCGCATTCAGGCAGCGGTCAAACGGACAGGGAGACTCTCTCTGCGTAACAGACTCAGGTTGTGGAAATCCGTAGTCTGGACGACACTGTCCTACGGGTTGGACTGTACAGGTGTTGACGTGGTTGGGAGGAGACTCCTGTGTGCCGCGACCCTCAGACAGCTCAGAGCCATAGCAAATTCGCCGGTGCATCTCACCCGAGAATCTAATGACATGCTGCTCCTTAGGCTTGCTGTGCCTCACCCTCTGGAGGCCATGACCGCCAAAACCCAGGAGAGACACACCCGCACGTTGGGGTCGCAGGTGTTCTCCATTCAACCGCAAGGTATGGGAGATGTTTGGGAGGCCGTGGCCAACACCCTCAAGGAGGGCCCTTCCAAGGTGCATGAAACCACGCCCCAGGCCACACAGCAGCTCCATCACCTCGGACAGGCCGGGACAGCTACGACGGAACAGACTCACTCCGAGCCACCGGGTTTTTGGGGCCTGCGGATGCTCTGCCCTCAGCGCCACCCATGCCGGCACAAGAACCCACGGGAGCACCTGCTCAGCATCAGCATAGCCGAGAAACGGAGTGCATACCGGTTGTGCCGGAGGCGCCCACCGGGACGTCGTCTGCTGGAACACATGCCACACCAGGTGATGTGCCTAGTCAGTCCTCAGACTCGCTGCAGTGCCAAATTTGCGATTTTCGTGCTGATAACACCCCGGCACTTCGTTATCATATGACCACATCGCATGGGCACTCTGAAAGACGTCTTGCAATGGAGGAGAAGGCAGCCTTTCGATTTGAAGACCACGCTCTGGCAGGCATGCCCACCTGCCGGCACTGTGAAAGAGCATTTACTGGTGTCCCTCAGTTCAGAAATCATATCATGGCCCAAGTCTGCCCCGTACTGCATGGAGCCCTGCCTTCAGGCCGAGACTACGGTGAGCAGCCTCCGCTACCACAGGGAGCTTCCTTGGAAAACCAGCCATTGCGTGATCGTGCTAGTACATATCAGGCATTGCAAGAGGGCGGATGGAAGCATTTGGCAACGCTGCAGGCATTTCGCCAGGTCGCATTAGAGCACTGCCCGCTCTGTCACCTCTGGGTAGCCAACAGGAGCGGACAGGTGAAAAAGCATATGCGTCACAAACACAAGGATCAGGAAACACTCATTCAGCAAGTGATCGAAGTTTGCCGCCGCTCTTCCTTTGTGCTGCGGTCGCCGTGCCAGCTGTGTCACGCTGAGTGGAAAGGCCCGGCGATTCGACACCGGGAGTCCTGCACAGTGTTCTTTGCCGCCAGGCTGCTTGCTGCCATCCATGGATTTCAATTCAATGATGAGGGAGGAGCCGACCCCTCTGATGCAGTTCGAGTCAATCTTCCATCGGCCAATCCCATCGCACCTGCCAACGAAGCGCGAGGGGCATCAGCTGGAGCCAGTCCAGCAGTGGCCGTCGCAAAAGCAGCGACGAAAGGCACAGGGAGCAATGGGAACGGGCAAAGGCAAGGGAAAGGGAAAGGGCAAAAGCAAGGGCAAAGATTACGGAAAGAGTCTGCCAATGCCACCACCGTCGTATCTGGAC